TTTTCGTTGCAGGGTTAGATTACACACTGAAATTATAGGATAAGAGGTATGACGTCTTGGTCCTACGAAATTGAAATGCATGGGTGGTACAATTGCTACAACTACATTAAGTGGGCCGTTGGTTTGTTTGCTATTCCAATTACATAAAAACAAATGGTTGACGATATTTTTTTATTACCGATTTTTCGCCGATGGAATGTAGAAATAAATATGGCAGCTGAAAGCGTGTAGGCGAAAGTACCTAAAAGAATATCAATATCTTTACTGCAATGCAAAATAAATATTAGTTTAAGACAGATGTTAAATTATTCTTTGACTTGATAGAATGTCAGTGAGTCTCTCTACAATTTAAGATTTTGCCTCATTGCCAGAGGGGCGGGACGACATAACCATTACAGTCTATGGTTACGAAGCCTTTAACCTTCCGCCCATAAAACTTTTGTGAATGGTGGATACAAAGTTCTTCTATTTTCGATTCAGAGATTTTAACATTACATACAACAGTTGTTGTTGATGGAATCATTACCAATTCATAAGTTTTCGTAATCCGTTCAACTTCAGCAATTTTCTCATACATAATGACGTAAGGACAGCCATCAATTATAAAAATAACTAATGTGGGATCCTATTTGTATATTGTGCGATATTTATTTTTAGTTACCTTAGCTCATATTTGCTACAAAAAATTGTTTTTCGACCATTATGTTTTTACTGTGATACTCGTGGGTATTTGCTAATAGAAGACCATAAATGGGAGAAGGGATTTACACATATGCAAATTATGTGAACTGAGAAGAATAATTCTACTTATTCGCTTGAAATTCTATCCTTACTATCCTTGTGGTCTCTGAATTATCATTGTTACGTTAAAGCATGCCTTACGAAATAGAGGTCACCTATATAGGTAAACCGCTATAACATATCTTTATGTAACTAATGATTATAATACATATTATCTTTCATTAAAAAAGACCCAAACAAGTAAAATTTATACTCGCAAACTCGTTTACTCATATAGATTATTTCGTTTTGATCTTGACAATATTGAAGTCTAGTTTGTATGGTATTTATACGAGAGTAGGAGTAACAAAATGTTTATCGTGTCGTTAACACGTCAATGTTAATTAAACATAATACGTCATGTCCATACATCCGGTTAATATCTAGTTAACTTAAAGTGTCATTATATGTGTTTTAATTTGCTTTTTTACATCATTAATCATGTTTACTGCAATAATAATATATCTCCACACAATTTAATCCAGACGAAACCTGAATTTACATACGTTACTTATATTTGAAAAAAGAGGTATTGTTGGAGATGAAACTTATTAGGAAATACACAGTTTCATCTTCTTTAAAATATTTTAAGGATGAAATTAATTAAAACAATCTTTGGTATATTCTTTTGAAGAGCATTAAACACAAGATCTCTAAATGTATTTAGTTATAATACTGTATACAGGCATCATTTACGATAAATTCTGAGCAGGCGTCGTCCATCGTATGGAGAACCACGCAAATCTCTTTACGATTCTTTTTTTACTGGAAACAGTATCCTTTGAAGCAGGTTTGGTTGGTTGTCAATAAGAATAAAAATACATTGCATCCCTGCAAACTGGGGATTTCTTGATTTTACATCTAGGCCTCGTTTCTTTACGTCTATATAGGAAAAGCAAAGATTTATTGATATTTGTTTTACAATAGACTAGCGATATCAAGTTAGTTTTTGTGTTAAAGTAGAAATACTACTTCGGAAGGAAAAACCATAGTCTGACGGGATTTCCTGAAACAATTTCATCATTATTAATTTTCTTGTTCAGTTTAATTACAGTGCATTTTTTCTCGGCTAGCAAGAAAATTATTTCCACAAAGTTTTTCAAATTAAATATCAGTTTGTTAAGTAGGTCAATTCGCAATACTTTGTTTTTTTTTAAGGTAGTAATGATAATGTACCAAATAATAGAAACACAAACTTTAGGATTTTTAATATTAGTAAATATTATAAATTAGCTGTACACTTTCCATAATTATTACTTTCTGTAATAGAAAAAAAAGGTTAAGCATATTATCTTTGCCATATTTCGTATGCACAAATCGTTTAAAAGCGGTTTCTTTATGAATTTATAAACATTAAAATAGTTGAAAACAAAGAGACAAAAATGCGGCAAAATAATTACTGGCAGTTTGTATTCATCACAATCTCGTTCAGACAAACAATTTTATGATTATATTAAAACAAACCTGTGTAATACGTATTAACTACGCATATTTGAATTCTATTGTAATATTGATAATGTATTATGAGAAATCAAAATATTTGTTACGCCAATATCGAGAGGTGTTACTTAGTGTAGTTATGGTATGTACTTTATATATTCGCTATATAAAGTACATATCATATATAATGTAGGTATAGTACTTGTAAGATAAGGTTTAAAAATACCAGTAATGAATATGAAAAACTACGGGAAGTAACCGAAGCTGCAGGTACAGTAAGTATAAAATAATTCTCAGCCTGTCATTATGTCGGATCCCTCTAACATTTGGTTGGTCTACGGTCAAAAATTTTCCAATGTTATTTTCGGCGTCGACCATCGAGTATAGGTTTTTTTTTGGATATTTATAAGTGTTCGCAATTAAGTTGAGCGGTGCGGTTGTGACGTCAATGGTGTAAGTTAAGGTGGATATACATTATACAATTTCAAAACATTTTAAGTATATATATGAAATAAATCTAATTGATAGATCTAAATGATCTGATCATAATAAATTCTGTACAGCTTGTCGTCTCTATGAAGTATAAAAATACTCTAAATTATATAATCAAAATAAACGTTGATATAGTGACTCAGAATTTTAAATGATTTCAATGACCAATACAGTCGTCTTTATGAAGTATAGAAAATACTTTAAATTATATAATTAAAATAAACATTAAAATAATACTTAGTGTCCAAAAGTTTCAATGATTTCAATAACTAAAAATGTAAAAAATACCTAGATAAGTTTTATATTTATATCCAATCTTCGCCACCTTCGCCACTTATATATTAATAGCACAGGCATGGATATAGTTTAGAGCAACATTAAATTAAGTTGCTTCCGCTACACACGGAAGTATAATTTTTTTACAAGGCCGTGTATATTGTTAATGAGTCTATCTCTAACACATAGGGTTCTGTATAAAGTGAATCTATAATTATTATTGTAACTAATTATCACAATGATAAATATACAATAAAACACATGTAACAACTGTTTATAAATCGGAAAATTTTCTAAATATATCTACGTACAGTCGACCAAATGCTTTATATTCAGCAATGTTCAAACCATGTCTTTGCAAAAAACACCTGTTAAAGTGAGGACGGAACCTTGAAGCCATTATTATTCTATACAAGATCCACGGATTAATGTTCAAATTAGGTAACAATACATAAAGCCATTTTATGATGTAAATTTACATCAAGCTTATGTTCTCGAAGTAGGAAGTTTAAAGAGCTCGTTTCATTGCTTATTTATTAAGTTTATTAGTCAAGTCGTAAGTTTATACATAAGTTCGAATTGCAACATGTTAGAAAAGTTTATTATAATTTTTATTTTTAATGCAAAAGTAAACTCCCTTAAAAGTATAGTAAAATAAATAATAAATAATTTAGTTCATCAAAATATAATATCGATCTGACTTCAAAATTATCTGTGGTAATAGGAACTACACGAATTCTCAGATCATGAATTAGTACCAATCTATTTTTACGCCGGGTCCCTTATGAGTTCGCAGAGCTAATGTTGTTAAACAGTATCTGATAAAAAACTAATTAGAACAACAAACGAACGAATGGTAGTCTTTTATTCGGTAACTGATTTTTATAACTTTATCCTTCATTATGGCAATTTGGCACAAAGTTTAGTTTTTTAAAAAGAACTTTAAGTAGTAAGAATTCTACGAATACATTGTTCTGTAGAGATTTACTAGGAAAATTTGAAAAAAAAATATTGAAAATCTTAACAGGTCTGTTTCAAAGACTTGTTTTGATTATACACTGTAGACCTGTATATGAAGAGACTAGTTTTTTACATTCTAGAAAATCCAATTAATTGTTATTTCACACATAGTCGGCTGTAGGTCGTATTGGTAACTAGTTACACATAAAGATATATACGTATCTGTAATCGTTTTACGTGTAGGTAACAATTCTTTTTTTATTACAACAACTGTAAGTAGATCAAATTATACTGTGTCGTGTATCGAATCTTTTGCAGCCATTCTAATTATTGTACAATTAAAAATTAAATTGGTATATAATAAATACAAGAAATATGTTAAAATTGTTATTTACTTCAATAAATTTAACTTTATTGACGCCATATTTTAGAGTTCATGCGAATACAATTACATGTAACTACAATAAATACATATTGATACAAATTATAGCACATCACGATATTCGCTTTTAGCTGCGAAATGTAAATTATAACGTAAACAAACAACTTCTACTAATTCTGTATCATAGAACGAGAACCGTTGCAAGTTGCCAACTGACTCAGTCAGAATAAACTGAGGACCTAATTGACTATTGTGTCAATGGTAATAGAGCTACTAATCCTCATTAATAACGATACTTCTAAATGAGTTTTATATACAAATGTAATATTCAAAATAATATGGATATTGCTAGAATATCCAGGTATAAATTAAAGTTACCGGTCTAACAAATTACAACGAGATAACCGGATTAGCATGAGAACTCTCATTGCTATTAAAGATTACGAATCACAAACGCGGCAGCATTGTTTCGTGGCATGTACTTTGTCTCGATAATTAAATATACGTCATAGCAGAGACGCCACGAGCGGAAACTGTTGTGATTTCTTTGTTGATCAACTGGGAATTACGCAAGTATTTCATATGGACCGTAGACCGATAGTAACGGGTAATGCCAAGGTCAGTGCAAGTGGAGCGTATGCGCGGTTGTACAGTGCGGTGGTAGGTGGTCAACTGGTGGTGACAACTGACATTATGTCGTGAGTATTCAGCGCCCGCGTCGTAAGCACGTCGTTGTTGTGCGAACGAAGCTGTGGTTATTGCTTATACGCAAATAGACGAGAAACCTGGCTTGTTTGCGTGATAGGCGAAAAATACAGTTGATTTGTGGAATAAGGATTATTTGAGACGAAATTTGGAAAACATTACTAAGCCCTCATAACGAGAATTCAGTTTAATACTCTACAACAACCAATTTCCGCAGGTATGTAAATACAATTTAAAAAACTAGGAAAAAATGGAATTTTATTTTTCTAAATTATTTCTTATTAAGTGTAGTTAACAAATACTAAATTCTAGATAGATAGAGATAGATAGTTGTTAATTTTTAAACTTTTAGTGCAAAAAAGAAGAGTACACATGAATTGTATGTCGATAAATCTAAACCGATTTTGATAAATGTTTACTTTTTTTATTATTCATAATGTTTATTATTTTAAAATAGTATACCATTTATGTTGACTACGATGGGCTAATTATTTAATAAACACTGTCCTAAACTATACCAATTCTTAATTTGCGTGAATTTAATTATAGATTCAATCGGATCCAAGTTTTGAGCGTACTTATGGAACAAGTTAATGTCGAGATTGAGGAGGATTGTGTTCTTAATTGCGTAGTTATTACGATTATAATTGTGTATGTATATTAATAATACAGATCCAGTATTATTTATATTTAGTCATAAAGTTAATTAAGTATCATGCTTATTATATTTATAACCAGACAGTTGTCTTGTCTAAATACGATATTGTACGTTTGATATAAACAGTAACGAAAGTAATTCATTTCATGAAATAATTACGATAAAATTAAACCAAAAAATAAAGCAATAGATCAATTTGGAATGATTTCATTAACACAACGTTTATTGCATTAAACAAAATATTCGTACGTGACAATAAAATATATTGAAGTAAATATAAAAACCGACGGCCCCGGTGGTCTAGCGGTTTAATATATTGCCTTACTTCCGATGGTCGCGGGTTCGATTCCTCGATTCACGGTGCAAACATTTGTATTCATGAGTATGATTGTCTGTGTGATCTGGGTGTTTTCTATATAATATGTATGTATGTATTTAGAAAAAAAATCTTTGTATTTGTATCAGTTATCCCATAACACAAGCTTTAGTTAGCTTAACATGGGTCTAGATGGCCCTGTGTGAATTGTCCTTAGAATATTATTATTATTATTACTTGATGTATTTTGTATAAACAGTGTTTTGATCCAAGATATATTTATAGACTATTTATTTATGTATATCTGTTAACGTAACTACTAACTATTGACTTTATAAGAGTTTGCTAACGGAGCTGTATGATATTTCATTTTTAATATTCAACGTTGACAGTTATTCATGAACAAATATACATAGAAGGGTATAAAAAATGTAAAACCGTTAAATTGTCCCCTAAAGAACAAATTAAAAGTTTAAATAGATGTCACATTGTTTTCAGGCATGTATTAGATTAGAAAAATTTTGGGCGAGTACACAAAGTGAAATATTAAATAAATATTGAAAAAGGCATACGCTGACTACACTATAAACTTATTTCACAAATAACAAAATCATAATAATCCCAATACGCGAAATAAATATATGTACTTAAAAAATTAAGAACGAACAGACAGGCCGTATATACGTTATATCTAATAGGTAGATATGTAGTTTCACTATAAAGTATCTACCTATATTAATATGCATAACAATTAATGAAGTGTGTGATTTTATCATATGTTACTTATATTATATTATAGATATTTTTAATAGTAACATTTTGAATGAACTTTCTTTCTTTATTCTCTAAATACAAAAAATAATCGAATTGATAGAAAAGAACGAATAATTTTAAGTTACCGTTAATATTTTAGTTACATTGAGTTTCAATTTGCTTAATTATTAAACATATTTTATATGTATATCGTACATGGTAATATTTTCCAAAAGGATTTAATTAACTTTGCATTTGGTGGCAATAGTAATTTTGTAACTCACTCTTCAACCGAAACACTGCTTGTGTTTTGATTGCAGAGCGAGTGAGACAAGGTAGTGAAATTACAGGATATGGAGGGATGACACGTCAGTACTCCATAATAGTCTTATCTATGGTAATAATAACACATGAATAGTCGCGAGGTAACGCGCATATGGGAACGTGATGTCCGTGGCCTGTTCAAGTATATATGCGACGGTTACCACTTACCATCAGTTCAAATAATTGATGATTATCAGTTACTTAGGTATTAATATAGATATACACCTGTTGTATGTAATGACAATAAATTTCATTAAAATTTTAATGTAAAACACCGGGTGTGTGTAATAAATACAAATTTAATGGGACGGGTCATAGGACGATAGTATGTATATATAATACGATACATAAACAGAATTACTTAGAGCTTGGTTTTTCCAAATCTATGTATATCCGCTTCTATACAGAAGTTACTCTCTGCTTCCTTGAAAAACTGGCGTATTAAGAGTGCAAAGGTCAATAATAATATTAGCGTTCCACATCTTGGTGGTTTAAACGAAACCTAAAATCTCATTGTATCTGTTCGTAATTCGTAAGTCGATATTATTGCTTATGTAATACATTCCACAAGCATAGCACAAGCTCGTTAACAGATAAAAGATAGAAGGCTAGAATAGAATAGTTAAAAAATAATAATAATTTATTATATTGATCACAATTATATCAACTTACGTAGAAAATACTAATAGGCAATTTTATTTGTGATTCAAATTAGATAACAAATTATTGAGAAAAATGTAGCTACGGAACACTAATAACCTTTTTTCTGACGTGCTCATTACTACTTTTTTTTATTAAAGTTCGTTGATCCGGACAGTATACATAAGCGGTCAGTTTTATACGAGATCAAAACCTGTATTCGGTGAAGTACCTGCGTAGGCACATCTGGACAACCTTCGTCCTTTCGATACCATCAACGTAACTCCCTTTTAAGTGAATGTACAATAAGGCTTCCGTCTCCGTAACAACCATTTATTTTCATGTACCTACACACACCAGCTTCATATTTCCAAAACGCGGAACACCAGTCCATGATCTCGAAATTAACAACATTGTCCGCAACATCAGCTACAATTAGCATGGCTTCATTTTGTATTACTTCACTGATAACATAATATTCTTCTACTATTACTTGTTGATACACGGAAAAGTGAATATATACCCTCATCTGGTTTTGGATAGTGACACAACTTTATATGTTGGATAATATGTAGATTTATAAATCGCACATAGTTTAGTCAGCTAAATACCGGATCTCAGATGTTAAATTATATGTATATTCTTTAAACTAGTTTTATATTATCTTCTCTTGTTTTCAAGAAAAACAAGAATAAGTTGAAAGAATATTACACAATACATTTGAAAAACAATTGAAAAATTGTAGTATACCCGGATAATGCATGGGTAATAAAATATCTGCAAAAGGAAATAAATAATTATTATTATTTACATAACAGTGGAGGATATATATGTACATATATTTTTAGGTGTTACTTCCTACCTACAATTGTTATTTGTAAGTAACAGTCTTGCGATTGTGTATGAATTATTTAACTCGACAGACCAATTGCAATCTGAGTTGTACAAATGTATACAGTTGTAAACGTATATACTTATAATTTTCATCTTCGGTTGAAGCTGGCTTACTTTAATGATCCATAGGTCATTGTGTCAGTCTGAAATCAAATTTCAGAGCTGATTTTATTAGCCGTATTAATGAAAAATCTTTATACTGCTGTTTATGTCTCACATTAATATACACTAATACATTTGTACAGCATACTCTGTTTAGTCTGTAAATGGTACCATATGCAAGTAAATAATACCTGTTTTCGCCATTAACAGTCCACGTACGCGCAATTAGCCTTGGATTTGAAGTATGTGAATGGTTTTTCAGATGCACAATCTATTCTCATTCGAATATGTATTTATCCATGGTGTAAATATACCGTCTTTGTTATGAATAACGACTTGATTATATCGTCATACTGTGTTCAGTTCGTTTGTATCAAAATAGTCGTCATTTTTTGTTTATTATTGTGTTAGTGTCTTTTAAAGCTATACATATATATAGTGGCACGTATCCGTAGTATATAAACTATAAGAAAAGAAGTAATTTAGATTCAAGATATAAAATATAAGTAATTATTTATAGGCAGCGATCACTTATATTTTTATACTATCAATGGAATACTTTTATCATAATATTGTTGTACGATTTAAGTGCTGTGACATGTAGGTAGTTGACTATATAAGTGTTGCTCAGCGATGCTGAGTACCTGGTCCACCCTGACATTCGCTACACTTGATGTCCGACGGTTACATTACGTCGTATATGCCCGAAACAACTCACTACTTGTTTGTAATGCTATATGTTCGCACATTCGTCCCATCCTATGATCAATTACGTTTATCTTTAAAATCTATGACGTATAACGTACTAAGTGATAACAGTTGTGTTGTTTATAATTGTTACAGTGAAAATGGAGGTGCTGAATAGGCTAGTGGCGGGATATCATGATTTGATGGACAACAAAAGTGATCAAAGGGTAAAAGACTGGTTCCTGATGTCTTCCCCGTTCCCTACGTTGGCAATATGTCTCACATACGTCTTCATAGTTAAAGTGAGTAACCTATTATACCATTATTATATTATACTATTATATCATTTAATATTAGAATATAAATTCCATAATTAAATTATAGAATAATATTAATAACATAATACAATAATTGTTTAAACGTTCTAATAACTATATTTTCCATCGGAAATTGCCAGGTAGTATAATTTTAATTTGTTAAGAAAATGTTAAATATAATAATTATATATACAAAACATAATTATAAATGTTGTATTTTAATTTATTCTTACAGATATTGGGACCAAAACTTATGGAAAATAGGAAGCCTTTCGAGCTGAAAAATGTCCTCATATGGTACAATTTATTCCAAGTTATATTCAGTTGTTGGCTTTTTAATGAGGTTAGTATCTGTCTATTAATTTTATGTAATTATTTTCCAATCATAATTCTTACTCGAGGACCACTGGCTTGACATCTTAGTCATTTAGTAAGCATTTATTTATTTTTATATAAAACATGTCATGTAAAAATATGTAATGTTTTTAACGAATTCCTGACCAATGATTATTTATACCTACAAATGTCATCTGAATACATTGAGCCGGTTTGCCACCATTGAGCAATAAACGTCTAATTAAGTATGTAATCTGGTGCTAATAAAACATTGGTGAAATATTTTTATTTTGGCATAAAATGAACAGTGAACAGCTGAAGCCATGACGAATGACATTATATATTAATAGGTCCAGACCTATACTCATATATTACTCATAATTACTCATAATACCAGTATTATGAGTAATTATGATTAATATATGAGTTAGTGTGTATTAATTTATTTTATTGAATATCAGTTTGCCTAATTCTAGAAATCTGCTATGGCAAGTAATCGTCATTGTCATTTGAAACAAGTTATTTTTGCCCTCAGAGTATAGCAAGCGGGTGGTTCACCACTTACAGTTTTCGGTGTCAACCTGTTGACTACTCATGGTCTCCTGTAGTGATGAGGGTGAGCATTTTTTTAAAGTTTAACCAACTCTTAGGTAATTTTAATGATATAATGTAACTCTGTATTAAGTTAAGGAAAGAAGAAACAAACGGTTCTTGTATTCTAAGCACGTGGCAGCTATATGTCTTATTTCGTTAGATGTGACCGCAATGACGGTCTCGTGTGAATTTTTTATACATTGTCCAGAAAATAGGGTATTTTCTTTATACTGAATATTATATGGTGACTCAGTTCGGGGGGTACGTAAGGTGTAATGATCAACATATATAGTTTGAAGCCTTTAACTATATATGTATGTTGACCATTACACCAGACACACAGCTTCTCAAACAGAGAAACATTATAATTAACACACAATTATAGTTTTCATATCCTTCAAATCTTCATAATTCGGAAGCTAGGTTTATATTAAAAAATACCATACAAAATTATTTAAGAATATAATAACCTAAATAAAAATAATGAAGCAACCAAAGGTATGAGGATGCCTCTTAGCAAATTAGATACCTCAATAGAACTTGAAGGAGTGGGAGAAATATGAGCTCACTCTGGTTAGGTCTAACTCCACTTAATTAATTTGTGATACATAAACCCTAGTTACATTTTTATTATTTGTTAGACAGATTATTGTACAACACAATAACCAGGAATATCACATGACTAGGTAAATACATGTATTTTTGTGCGTTGTTTGAAAAACAACTTACGGAATTGCATATTTTATTTCATTATTGGACTATTTATACACCACATATGTAGGTACAGTAGTATTATGCCGGCTTATTATACATGTTACATTTTATTAAGATCTCTTCAGCTATATATTTAGTTAACGATATACTAACTATATAGAAATAAATCTACAACAATCATCAATACACTGTTTATTTTGTGATAATATTATGAAAATATAATATGTATACAAGGTTACAAGGTTATATCAATTCTACAGAATAAAGGTTGTATATAAAAATGGTTTTTTCTACAAAAAAAAATCGGACCAATTTCCAGTGCAAAATTTTAGACAGGATTTTTATGATCATACTTTTATCCGGGTATAGTAAGAAGCAGATAAGACGTAAGTTAAGAAAAACTATATCTCAGGAATCGATAACAGTGGTGGCAAGCTAACTTGTACCTCATATATACGAGTATGAATATAAAAACTAAATTCACGTAAGAACAGAAAAAGTCTAAGACATAGACAATTAGAAGATTTACTATTTGTACCAATAATTGTTGTATGTAAAGACCTATTTGCACTGCATTTTAATTAATTTGCTTTATCTAATAATAGTTTATGCGACGTCTCTCCTCAACTAGTGATGGAATGACGTCTAACCGGTAAGTCGATTAAGGGATACCGACATATTCCCGTGTATAGGGTTGTAAAATATCTTCTATAAATACCCACATAAAATTTATTTTATATTATTTTTATCTTCATTACAAATATTATACTCATAAAATCGTGACGAAGAGAAAAAAAGAGTGGTTGTCTATTTATCTAAGAATGTAAATCGCTGGAATATATCGCTTTACTATAGCAGACCTAAAAATCCTTAGTTTTTTTAAAGAGATTTTATAAATAAAGATGAATTATAAGTACGTGAAAATTTATTATCTTTCTACTAACTTGACCTTTCTATTGCAACTGTTTTACCAGTATGTTACGTTCGCACGTGAAACTTGTCATTAGATACAACCCTAATGCAAAGCTACTTATTGAACATAAATGTATGTATTATGCACCATATATTGCCAAGTCATGGACCGAGAGGCGTTTGCCTTGTGTGACTAGTAGGCATCTACATACTATTATACTAATTCTAATTAGTAGAGATATATTTGCGATGGAAACGCAAATGTATCCATAGACGATTAGTTCATCAATTAATGAAATATTTATAAATAGTTGTCGTAACTAGGTTGCTATGAATAAAATGATCGCAATAATTTCGTAAAATTTTAAGGTCGTAAGCCTAAAATTTCTATGGTGTTCGAATTAATGCTATTAAAATTATATATAAAATAACTGTTAACTGATAACAGTGTATAAATAATGAGTATTAACATCCACTATAAATATCCTTACTTAAGATTACTGTAAAAATATATCTGAAAGTCTAGAACTAAGTACTACTAGGTAACTACTAAAATAAAATAACAGTTTTATTTTAGATTTTGATTCATTAATAATTAAATAATAAGTTTGCTAGATGTTTGAGAACTTACTGAATTTAAAATTCAGTAAATCCTCGATCTGTCCCGGTCATATAAAAACATGCGGCTATAAACTAGTTTTTGTATATTAAAGCATATCTTAAAAAGTTTAGGTACACACACTAAATATAACTCAATGTATCAAGTCTAAAAAAAGATCTAGTTGTAATTCTAAAAATAAAGTTATTAGGTATGTAGTTTTTGCTCTTTGCCAGTGTTTAATTTATTATTAAATTCATTACAAAAAACATTCACGAATATACTGATGGAATTCAAATGTTGAAATGCTGTAATCGTTTTTTTATAGACGGTACGTGGATGTTGGTGGTACTACTTTTCGAAGTTTACAGAATTCTTCGACACGGTAAGTTGCTCTGCCTACAATAATTACTTAGTTATTTAAATTGACTCGAACTCATTGTATTGCACACATGAGTATTTTTAGTGATCTTTATTGATATGATTATTTTCTAAAAAACGAAGGTTATTAACCTTGCCTTCTACCACTTGCTGCAAACGGAAGATGTTTTGTAATGTAGTAAAATTTCATTTTTATTTTAATTCCAACAAAGCATATTTAAATTAAAGTAAATGTTATCGGTGAAATCTATGACGAAAATAGCTTGTGACTGGTTGTCCTTCATAATTATTGTATGAAATTATTGTGCGAAGTTTTCGCCTCCTGCCTATGTATGTATGTCCATTGCCAAGGCGATTACCGGCCACTAGGGCCATGTTTGTTTCCGCAACCGGCATGGTCACGTCGTTGCTTCATTTGCATAGCTTTATGTATATCTGGTTCAATATTAGATTATTATTTGTGTTCGTATGAAATGTTATTATTAACGCTTCGTTGGGAGTTTCAGTTTTTATTGCCCGTATTTTTCTTTTCCACATTAGACGACTACAATTATTTTATATTTAGTAAGTTTTTACCACACTAGGTATGTGTTAAAAACAAGGATAGAAGGAAAAGAGATTTTTTAATATAAAATGTTAATAAAATTTAATGTATAATGTATATGTGAATCCCAGCATGGTTTACGAAAGTGATTGATGTTATCAAGACATAAATTTATGTCCTATATAATACGGTTGTCGACTAAATTTAATTAAAATTGAGTTCATTATAATAATTTCATACTAATATACGTAAGTGACAGACATTCAATGACAGAGGTGTGATATATTTATATAAGACGTTATGTTTGTCTCTTTCGAGTTCCTAAAAACTGGACTCGCTTATGTAAGTAACTAAGTACGTACGAGTATATATGTTTGTTCCGTGATGTCTTTGTCTAATAATGAGTCTTTGTTCACAGATCTTCTTCGTGATGCGCAAGAAGTTTGATCATGTGTCGAAGCTTCATGTAATCCACCACGGCATCATGCCCATGTCGGTGTGGTTCGGAGTTAAGTTCACACCAGGTCAGTGTCATTCGTGTGTAGTTGGCACTACGTGTGTTTAATTTACCGTTTAAATAGAACCGTCTTGTACCTTGATATATTACATCTTTCAAGGCACAATTTATGCTATTGGCCCCTAAAAAAGATGTGTCAATAAGTCCAGCTCAATGTCATACAATTTATTAATATATTGGTGGGTTATATATATAAACGTAATGTACATATGTGTTTTCTCTTTAAATTTAGAATGAATTAACGTACTTTATGGTGGTAAGATAGTATTTAAAGATTCTCGAATATTTGGTAATTACTGACATGCAACAGACGGTATTATAACAAGTATTCTAGGTACAGGTTTCTCAATTATTATTATATATTTCTTTACTACCTTTTTTGTGGGTAATGTTTAGTACTTAAATACATTTGCATTATTAAAGTTAGGTAAAATATTGTATCGTATTTAGTAGATACTCCATCATCTTTGGTAGTTGTTTCCTAAGGAATACAAACCATTTATTCCTTAGGAAACAACTACCAAATTGTTTTTAATTTTTGTAAAAAAGGATCTTTATTTAATAAACTGAAACTCGAAACTTTTAAACTAAAACCTTAAAAGCTAAATTGTTAATGTTTTATGAAGTAGCTAACGACATAACAGAATGACACAAATATTCTTGAGAAGTACATAGTTTGAGGGTACAAACATACCTAATGTGTTTGTATATGTAAACCATGTTTGAATACTGAGTGACAGACAACGATAATGATCTCGAGAGTTTTCTTGGCGATATCATCTCCTAAAATGGTTACTGCCTACTTATAATATCTCATTATATTAATGGTGTATAAAGTTATGTTGAGGTAGACTTGGTAAGAATCAAAATAGATATGCTTTGTAACCTGAGTTTGACTAAGATATGGCAGTGAAATCATAGTGTACAGAGGCCTGTTATCTTTGTCCTACTGTAATGTCCATGTCCTATTCATGAATACAGCGTACGGCATCGTGGTCGTCGCCGCGTCGGTTCGATTCTTAGCACGGTGCAAACATTTGTATTCGTGTGTATGATTATTTGTATCGGTCTGGGTTATTTCTATGTATATTATGTATGTATTCACAAAAAAAATATATAAGTATTTATATCAGTTGTCTAGTTCCAATAACACAAGCTCTGCTTACTGTGTGATGACGCTGTGTTGTCCATGGTTATTTATTTATTATTATTATACGAGTATATGGTGAAGATAAGTGAAGCAAAGTAACTGAATGTACAAGTCATTACAATTGTAAGTTGTAAATTTACACCCACTTCACACACTGCACAGGCACGCGTGCTGCTTGTTTACTTAGCACTTTATAGATAATTATATATGTACCTACAATAATTATTTATAATGATGTTAATAATGTCGTGGTTTATATCCGTTTGTTTTTTTATAATAATGATGGTACAGTGAATACTTTCCGCTAGGTGTTATACGCCAAGGAAATAGATTTTTTTTTGGAAATCTTGAATCTTTGAAAATATTGAAAAATCTATATGGATAAATGATTTCGTATATAACTTTTTATTTAAGTTAAATAGTGACCTGAAATCTTTCCAGAATTTAACAATAAAAAAATATCTTATTATCCTTTTGCATATTATCTTATCTGTGCTTTTACTACATTCTTTCCTTTATTGTCGACTCGGTAGATACTTTCAGCTGTTCTTATTATGAAATCATTACATAGTATGAATGTATGTACGGAAGCAGAAAACCATATAACATAGAATGAAACAGCATTTAATGAGTTTATAATAACTTTAAAGAGTTTTAATGTTATTATTTATTAAATTCATTTATTTTTCAGGTGGACATTCAACGTTCTTTGGTATGCTGAACACTTTTGTGCATATAATAATGTACACTTACTACTTACTGGCGGCATTGGGCCCTCAAATTCAAAAGTACTTGTGGTGGAAGAAGTATCTTACCGCTCTTCAAATGGTTAGTAAATAATTTTAGTAGTAGTTTGTTAGTAGCTTCGGCGGTCCTGCAGTTAAGTTTACCGGCCTATGTCCAATGGTCACTGGTTCGATTGTTTGCATTAATCTGAGTGTTCTATGTATTTACAAACATAAATATAACGTATTTCTATCAGTTTGTTTAGTAGGCATATACATAAGTTATGCTTAGCTTGAGACTGCATGATGTTGTGTTAATTATCGAGAATGTTATTATTATATCTATATCTATTTTGGAGGACAACATCTGTTTGTATTTATCAAGGAAATAAGGCAAGAAACAACAAACAAATTGCCTACCTGCATTCATCTTTATTTTCCTTAAATCAATGAGGTCACCTATAAGACCCATAGTAAAAAAAATCTTAGAAATGCCATCGTTTGAAGATGACATAGATGATATATGTCACGTGATATTTAAATATCCGTTTAGACTTTAGTGTTAAGAAATATATGATAAACATGTGAACACATAAAGATTATCATTCTCACAACTGTACCAACAAAATACAAAATTTAATTAATTCTAAGGCTAACTAGAAGTATTTTGGCAATTAGTATTCGCCACTATGAATATTGATTTCTTAAAAACCTTATGTTCTTGTACTCAAATTTCTACTGTATAATAAAATGTTGCAAACATATTAAGCGTGACAAAGTTACGAACCACAAATTCATGTATGAGAGTGCAGTGGCAAACACGCTTAGGATCTACTGATAGAAAGTGGCTTTTAGACATGAACTGCATGACCGACATCATTAAATACATTTTGACGCCCTTGGACTCTACTGATAGAAATATTGTAATGGGTGAAAACTGTGATCGCAGCCTTTTAAATAATATAATTGACATGAACTGCATGACAAACGACATCATTAAATACATTTTGACGCCCTTGTTCAGACTTTAAATTTTTTGTTCTTTGCGATGCATTGGCATTAAAATTTGAAAATAACTGTATTAACATGTTCCACATTATTTGAAAAAAATTACCTGTAATCTCGATATCATTCCATCTTTTGACCCATTCAAACCCAAATTCAGCTTACAAAACAATTTGCTTGGCAGACGACTTTAAATAGTTTGCGGTGGTAATAATAATAAAAAGAAGTTTATTCGCTCTCATATATAAAGAAATATTTTTTTACAAAGAACTATTAACATTAGACACATATATAACAGAGACAGCAGTCCAAAATAGGTTTCCTTGTGCTTTGTTTCCTAGCATCCTAGCAGGGGAATACTTAAGACTAACAAATCATTGTTAGTTTAATTAAGTAAATCTACTAGTTACATATCCATAGAAAATGAACTTGATGATGTGTGACTATGCATAAAGTGTAATGAAATTAAGAAATATTAGTAATAATGATAATATAAGTATATTATAGTTACATGATGTCCTTGTTTCAGGTACAATTCGTCCTAGTATTTCTTCATGCATTCCAACTACTTTTCATCGACTGTGATTACCCGAAGGCGTTCGTTTGGTGGATTGGCATGCACGCTGTTCTCTTCTATTATCTCTTCTCAGATTTCTACAAACAGGCGTACTTAAAGAAAGTCAAAGTAAGTTATTTTTATTTTACTAGCTGTGTCCCACTTTTTTGTCTACTTAGTATATTTTGGGAGACTCTTGCGGTTTCTATCTTTCACAGATAACATAATATTACATAGTTAAATTATTATACGCAAATTATTATGTCAACAGTTTTAGCTTTATATTGAATGGTTGATCTGTTTAATTATACTTAATATAAAATATAACTGAAATTTCTTTCGATTTAACTTATCCGTGGTAATATGACAAATAGATATAATTTATTTTAAAGGCTGGATTTGAGTTCTGTTTTCTGTTTTTAACGAATTTAAACTTGCTAATTTGTATGCAATATAGTGTATCGTTAACAGCAAAGATGTCTGTGTAAATTATAAGAATGTTTACATTGACTTCTGGGATATTAGTATTATCTATTTGCTTGAATGCTTAAGTAAGCTAGACTACGAAATATGTGATGTTAGGAAAAACATCCTTTATAATATGAGTTGAATAAATATATATGGAGTTTGAGGAAAAACTTCGCTTATTATCTGTATTATTAATCAAATCACTGCTCAATGAATATCTTGGGATCATATTATTTGCGTTGATTTGTTTATATTTGTATTATTATGTCGGGGTTATTGACTAGTCATTAACATATTTTGTTTGATATATTTTTTTTAATATTATAATGATATTTCAATAAAAGATTTATGAATAGTCCCCTGCGTGACATTTGGTAAATCTTTTCTTAGCGTATGCTTGTTTTATAAACAAAACTTATTTATACGTATAATTAGTAAAAATTACGGGATCTTACCACATTTTATATTTATTTGCTGACTTCCGGGTCACACAATCACGGGTAAAGCTTTACTTAAATTAGGTTAAATATTCTGTGTTAATTGTGGATATCATCAGCGCACCAAATTTCATGCAAATCCGATCAGTAATATCTGTGTGAAAGAGTAATTTATAATATTAATAAGATTCAGTAATAACAACATATAATTCAGACTACGATGATTCGAATTAAAAAGAATGTGGATAATAAGTATTTCATGTCATTTTAATCATTTTGTAAAGTTCAGTGATTGCGTCAATTGATCATAAATGTAGGCATATAACATGCCATTGTCGGAATATGCAATTAAGATATTTTTTAATTTTAAAATATTCCATAACTGAATTATAATTAATTTATTGCGATGAGGAAGTAAATAGGTATACCAGTACAAAATAATAACAAACAGATTGGTACGTACAAAAATAATGACTGTCATTGACATTTAATATATCTATATATATTCACATAATATGCTATGCTATACTTATTATAATCTACATCGAGGTCAATTTTACAGATACCTATATGTTTTTTGATGTAAGATTGATTATTGGTTTACTGGGTGATTAGGGAATCAATGTATAAAGGTATAAATATAATTCAGAGTTTACAGCAGGAGCCCTAGAGAGACTTTGCACAAATTCATTTGCATGAGTACTTTTGTGTCATATATGTTTGCTGCCAAACAGCTTGCTTTTGCCCGCTGTTTTTGTTTCATTTGGCAGTTAAATTACAGACATAAAGCCTCTTTTCTCTAGATAGCAATACATGAGGAGTAGGTACCACGGATACATAACGAGATATCCTTAGTGCTGTTCAGGTATACGTCGATTACCACTTACCATCAGGTGGGACATAATTTACTTGCTATTCTACTTACATAAAAACAAGAATATTTAAGTCAGGCCAGTCTTCAGCCACAATAATTATGTTTACATAGGTTAAATACTTATTCTAAAATATATTGTTTTTTCTAGAATGCCAAAGCGAAGATAAAGGTGGAGGCAGATGCAGCCAAATTAGACAATAAGGAGAGGAAACTTCCATTGCTGAATGGTTTTAGCAATGGCTCTACCCTCGGTGATGTTCGACAGAGGGTGGCCGGAGCCGTTGCCTCACAGTGAACACTATAGTTACATTTATTAGTATACTGACAGACAATAGACTTAAATTATTCCAGAATTAAATTGTGAACACTCATTGATTTCAACTGGACTAAAGATGAAACTGGATCATGATCCTAACAAGGGAGAGGCGTCACTGTTGCCGTGTTCATGTTTCATCGACCATCGAAGAGATTTTCTACAGTATTTGTTAATGGAGGACCAATAAAGTCATGTACGTGTGGTCGGTACATAACTTCTGAATTGTGAGGTCCTTTCTAATTATTTCAGTTTTTGTTTAGAGTCTTGTTATTTAAGCAAAACTTGGAATGTGAAGATAGACGGTACCAGAGATTGTCGAAAAGAGCGTTTTTCCACACAATCTAACTTCATTTACAGCCTTAAACTAGTACAGTCGGTTTCATAATTAAATCATTATTGTTCAATGTTATCATATAAATTCAATATTATATGTACTATCAAAATATACATATAATTTTCTCACAAGACCACAGCATGGGGTTCTTCAAGAAGGGTATATTAAGGTTTCTTAAGGATCGACAACGCGCACGTGACTCGCCTGGTGTTTCAGGCGTCCATAGGCTATGGTAACCATTTACCATCAGATGGGCCGTATGCGTTTGCCACCATAGTTGTATATAAAAATTTTATTATATTTTATATTAAATCAAAATTGATAATGATATTTTCATTTTATGCATATTGCATTCAAATTTAAAGTATCCTTAATTTTTCTTTATATGCACTTGGGGGACTTAGCTGAAAAGTATACCTACATATACTTTGTTACTTATGTTATTATATTTCAATAACTTTAATTATTTTAAATTTTTGCTAACAACGTATTCTTGGTCTGGCTACCTTCTATTTGTGATGCCGACTGTATCTAATTTGAATTGTTTAGCATAATATTTAAAATAGGCGCATAATAATAAGTTTCAATAGTACCCTACCGGATCTAGAAGTCTCATATTGTAATTTTATACCTTAACTTAAAAAAAAATCGTATGTAAGTGTTGTGCGAAATTAAGAATAATAATTAAAGATCACTAAAATGAGAATTTATTCCTCGAGTGAGTAAGCCACCTGGATTCCTACTCGTCGCCTGCCTTCAGATCCGTATTCGATGAAAGAATGCTCAATTAAGTTAAGTACTTAGAAATTCATTAAGTTTAGTAGATATTTGTAATTTATTGGAATTGTCAAATATATATAGGCATTGCAATGGCCTGTTGAAGATGTAGGCGGTATATATTTATATTAATTTTTATTGTGATTATTGAAATAAAAAACACCGATTAATTCACGGGCAAGAAAGTATTTTTTTAGAAATGTGTCCACAGATCTAAATGTCATTATATAATGTCTTTATGACAAAAACTTCTTTACATTTATGTTAAAGTTAAAACCGAGCTCATTGTTACTATTAATATCACATACGAATACGAAGTTTGTAGGGTTCCGAACAAAAATATAAAATGCGTGCCATTTTATTGAAAAGCGTTTTTATCCATTTGTTCATTATTCATAACGCTTTACAACTCGTTAATTATAATCGGTTTACGAGTCCGAATAGCATTGGTATATTTGTTTTCTTTTTTTTATATAAAGACAAAGTTTAAGTGTACGATGAATACTTACACTTAAACCAAGTGGTCAATAAATATTTGCTGTCCATCGTATTAAAATTCTATTAAACATTTACATTTTTAGCGTAGATGATCAGTAATAATGTTTAATTTATGATAGATAAGCTGCGGAGAAAAATAATTCTATATTAAATTACTATATGTGTATATTACGACATAATATGAGTAAATTTGCCAGGAATTTTCTGTTACATCCTGTGTTGTGTACAATTATCCTGAATCCAATTAGTCTGTCTGAAAACTTAACCAATTTATTTGTTTTATTATGTAACATAACTTGTAACATTTTGTGTTGACAGACAAATATTGTTTCACTTGTTAGTTATAATAATATTGGTGTTATTTAAAACATAATGCCCAAGTTGTAATCGGGAAAGTTTACAATAATTAAAATGTTTGTAAAAAACTAAAACTAACCACCGTACATTCCTTGAATTTACCTAAATATGAATTATTAATAATTACTTTATAATGTTAAATAAATTGAATGAATTGTATGCCAATATAAATTGTGTGTAATTACTAGAATATTTGATTTTAATATAAATTGTAACAATTTTAATCGGCATAGGGTAGGGTTGCCATGACCCAGCTAATGAAAATGTATTTTGAAAGTAAAGTTGATATCACAATTAATATATATATGTATATGCGCATATGAGGCGAGTATATGCTGGGACTTGCCACATTGTGTACTATTATTATAATTGTAAATATAGTAAAATACTTATTATTAAAAGTACAACAGAAATAACTTGTGATACTTTCTACAATAAAATATATATAGAAATTGCCTAGAAAATCATTTATATTCCTTAATATTGTTATTGTCGGCACAATATTGAAAAATGTGTATACCAGGTAAGGGTAGGTATTGCTCGTTCATACCTCAGGGTTTAAAAGAGCCGTGTTCACTACAACGCAGCAGATATTAGTGATATTTTATATAAAGATTGCTCTTTGAATATTGTATTACACCGCGCAGGTATTAACACTACAAAAGTGCGTATGTTCTAACAGACTGTCTCTTATCTGTGTAGACGTGCTTATGCTAACCTAGTCGCTCAAAGAGCTGAATGAAAGAGAAAAAGCTAGAAAACTGGGTAGCTAGCAGTTTCATTAGTTTCAGACATATACCTTTATCAGATTTCACTGATAATTTTCAATATAAAGCTTGTGGTGGTCGTTTTTCGTTTATGTGCCAAAAATCTTCCGTTGGATGGGTGTGGTATGTTTCATGCCAGAATTATCGTGTTAGCATTCTACTGCGACTCCTGCATCAACCGCAAGAAAAATATCATTTATTTGTTTAATCAAAGTGCTTCAGGTAATTGCACTCGGATTTATAATCATAAGAAATGACAGGGTGAATAATAACATGTAATATTGTGTGAACAGTAAAATTATTCTCAGTAAGTGATAAATATACATATCATAATGTAGATCTTGGAATGATGCCTTTTTTTTAATCAAACTTATTACAGTAGGTACCTACTGCGAGTTTGTGCATGTTTCGTATTATATCGATATAATAATAACATTTAAAACCACTTACATAAATACACTATTTTCTATGTAGAGCTTCATCACATTGCATCATTTTTGCTAGGTGCTATTAGTCGAGTATATAATAGGGCAACAGAGAAAAATAGTAAATGATAATGAGAAAAACATGCAATATACATGTTTGTACTCACTATTCAAACTTCAATACAAAGTCAAAAGTTTAAAACCATAAGTATCTATATAAATACCAAAAGTGAATATATAAATACGATATAAACTGCTTCGTCGCCTATAGGTATTTTTTTAATAATTCGGCCATATGTATAGCACACCGTATATATTTATATATAATTATATGAATTTAGCATTCATCTAAGATAGTAAAATTTCATGTCATACGTAGTTTGTTAGTATATGTTAACATTTGTTAGTAGGTATATGCATAAGTTATATGTATATTTATAATATATTATTACTTACATTTAAATGGATAGGATGACGCGTAAAAATAAATTATTTAATAACATCAGGAAAATTCCCAACATGTGTTCAATAAAAGTGTGATTATTATGATAAAATCGTTGGTGTATTTTTTATAATTAATATGCTATATACCTGCTAATAGACCTGCTGTCTGCTTTTCAATTCCGAGATGTGTATGATAACATAATTAAAGCAAGTATAGTTAGTTCCGCAATTTTGTTTGTAAACATTTCAGGGTTACTATATATTAATATAAACATTACCATGTTGTCTTTGCAACAAGTGGCAAATGTGTATCAAAGCTACGCTACGTATCGACACTTTTCTAATTTACTTTTACGTTAGGTACCTATATAGGTATGTCCTGTGTAAATACCTACAGTTTCATAGAAATTAAGTATGCAGACTCGAGCATTTTATATTGCTCACATTTAATAGGTACCTAATGCAGATTTTTACTCAGTATAGAATACAAAATCATTATGAAATAGCAAAAGTAGTGAATAGAGAGTTAGAATTTATTTTCGTCTTTACTTATAAATTTAAAAAAATCATAATTACAATTGATCTATAAAAAATTGGCGTTATGTGATTTGTCCATGAATATACTTAATATTGAATTCTCATTTTTTACAATAAATTACAAATTACGAAAATAAAAAAATAAGGTTAATTTATGATTTCCTGAAAGATCGTAAGGAAAAAATAAAACAATAACTTTTAATACCTGGTTAGTAATAACCATAACACAACCGTTACAAAGTAGGTGCTTTTCAAAATAGACATAGGTATACTTGTGAACAATTCTCAACCCATAGCGGCATCTATTGACGAATAATAAAATATTATTAAGAAGGTACTAAACTATTTCGAATAATTATTATACTAGTTTATAGTAACAATATAAAATCAACATCCATGCCGTTGTATTTTAAGCATACTTCTTTTAGTTTTGCACACTAAAAAATGCTAAAAAATTACAACTATTAAATGTCTATCTTCTGTTTTATATTTAAATATGTTACTCAACGCTAGATGGCGTTATAAACTAATAAGTATGCTCACCTACAGAACGGAATGTTCTATATGCTTTTTTATCTATACTGTGATAAATTGATAAGAATCTGTATCTGGACCATCTCCACTTGAAGGTGCTGGGATGCGGTGCAGGAAAACACAACGTCATTACCGGTGCCGCCGGCAAAGACATCCCAAAACTAAATAGATACCATAATTTTAGGTAGGTTTAAATTTGTTTTTTTGGTTTGTATATGCAATGTATATGTTTGACAGAATGGGCCTGATGATTTGAGTCAAACAAATATGAGTTAACAACGCCATACCACTTTGGCTTCATTTTCTCGTGATCACAGATGTACTCGATGACGAATAAAACAGGCTGATATCATAACTTCATAGATTAGGGGGGTAAATCTTTATCTCGTGTTTGTTTGACTAATTTCAATAAATCAGCTTTTAAGTCATACTAGTAATTAACAACTACTAGATACTAGCTGCGTAGACAATATATTTTAAAAATTCGTTGAGCAATTATCTTGTAACATCATAAATAATCAGCCACATATTTTTAAAGCAACTGTAGATACATGTCTCGTTTTTAGCTTCTTAACAATCAATTAGGTACTGTGCTATCTAATTTAAACAGCAAAAACTGTCAATGTAGTATTTATTCTGCCAATTAGCTACATGAGTGTATTGTTCATTTACTTCCCCAGATCAAGCAAACACTTGTCTAAATTGTACAGTGGTATGGTTTCCCACACGCATTGTGAGGTGACACAAATTACCCAAGCCATTGTTTTATAAAAACTTTATTTACAATGAAATATTTTACAATCTATCCTTAAACTTACAATCTATTGTTCATAGATAGGAAATAGATCCATAAATTATTTGTTAACATCAATGTCAGTAAGATTTTGTACACAAATAGATTTATTTTAATATCTACTCCTGCTAGCAACACAATCTTACATTAAAATGTTAGATGTACAATCTTTCATGAATTTCAACTGACCACTTCAAAACAATAATATAGAAACGAAATAATATAGTGGCCAACTGAAATTCTTGTTCCCAAGACACATTGCAACGACTTAAACCAATATGAACAAGAATAATAATATCACAAATAATTTAGGGTAACTACGGGTAAGCCTCTTCAGATACCTACATCTTGCAGATTTGTTTTATTCAGTCTATTTATTATTAAACAGCAAATAAACAATTGATAGAAATTATTTACAAAAGATTTGAATTTGAATTTATATTTTGAACCTATATTATAACTATTATCATTTTTAATTGTTATACTATAAATCAAAATCTAGCGAAAGTATTCATAAAATTCTAAACCTATGTTCACTTTACATTGAGTACCGTGATCATTTACTTTCTTTTCGTTTTGGAATGTTTAATCGTAATTTAATTAATTTCATAAATTATTTTTCTCGCGCCCAAGTTAATATCCAAAGAGGCGACTAATTTAATGGCAGTGAAACGAATTTAAGTTATAAAATCATTAAGCTTTTGTTTTAGTTCTGCCAAATTCTTCTATATGATCATATTCTACGAAACCTGGATCAGAGTCGTAATATGCGTAATCATAGCTAGTATCTTCTTTTTTATTAGCTGGATTCGCGAAATACGGTGGGACAGTACTAGTAGCAGGTCGGGAAACATGCGCCGGTGGCAATGTTGGTGGCGAAGGTGGTCGAGGTTCTGGACGGTTATTAGGAATCGTTGTCCTTGTTGCAGCATTGTTTATAGCTGCGACATTCTGCGGCACGAATGCTGAAGGATCACTTGGTCTGGATGTAGTCGTATAAGTTTGATGAAAGTCAAAATTGCGCGTTTGTGTTCGGATAGTAGTAGTATACGTTGATTCCGGCACATATGTCGTTTGTGTCGATAGTGAGGGTGGAGTAGGTGCGGGTCTGAATGGCCTAGGAGCAACAGTCTGTGAGGATGCCTTGAAAGTTTGAGATTTACCACGCGATTTCTGATCTTCAGGTAGTCTGTTACCACTTGCTGCTATGTTGAGGGAATGTGCTCCAGACAATAATTCGCGATCGTATATTTCTGGTTTATATTGCCCATCATCCTCTCCTTGTGGTGGGCGATATTGTCCATCATCTTCCTCAGCATGATCATAATTATGAGCGTTGAAACCCAAATTTGTGTTATAGGCTATAGTATTCAAGTTAGGTGGAGGGTTTGCACGCGTGGTCGTATAGATAGTGGTGGTAGGAGTAGTACTAGGGCTGTTAAAATTATTTTGTTTTGAAAAAGGCGCAAAGTTACTCTTTTCGGCGTTGTATGTTACGCTGTTGTAGTTTTTAAATGGTGGAGTACTAGTTGCAGCCGTGTTATAACTTGTCGTAGCAATTTTTGTGGTACCTCTTATATTATCATTATTAGAGTTTACATTTCTAGCTTTTAAAAAGTCTTTCAATTCATATGGAGCATCAGTCACACTTACACTTGTTTCTACTTTAATTGGTTGCCTATTTTTATTAAGACCGTTTAGTCCTGGCGTGGATTGTGCATTGTAATTATACAGTTCAACTAATCCATATTTTTTATTAAAATGTACAGGAGTTGTTTGTGAATAGGGTGCTGGTGGAGAATTGCTAGCGAAGTGTTTGCTTTGTTTAGGGCTTACACGGCTTACTTCTACATATTCGTCTTTGTATTCCTTAAACTGAGGAGGCAAAGTAGGTGTCGTTGATGTCAAAGTCGTTTGGGGATTTTGAGGTACGGTTCGACGATTAAAGTTCTGTATATTATTATGACGTTGTTGTGATTGTAATTGAATATCCGTTTGTTGTTGTTGAGATTGATGATCTGATTGAAGTGATTTTTGCTGTTGATATTTATCTTGTGATTCTTTTAGTGGTTTCTGTTGAAATAATTGCTGTTGTTGGGTTTGCTGCTGAGGCTGTTGTTGTGATTCCCCTTGATCACGTTGTTGAGGTTTTTGTAAAAAATATTGTAGTTGTTGTGACTGTTGTTGATTATTTTGTTGAGTACGTTGTTGAATTTGTTGTTGAGAGTTGTGTTGTTGGTTTGTTTCTTGTGGTTTTGCTACCGAAAATGATTGACGAAGTTGATGTTGTTCAGGTTGTTGTTGATTTTGTTGTTGTGATTTTTGTTGAAAATATTCTTGCTGGGATTGTTCCTGATTTGTTTGCTGTTGCGTTTGTTGATTTTGTACCTGTTGTGGTTGTCGTTGGTATTGTTGTTGTTGTGGTTGTCGATGATATTGTTGGTAAGGTTGTTGCGACTGTTGTGAAAACGTTTGTGTCGATTGAGTATTCTGTGTCGCTGTTGTCTGAGGTATAGGTGTAGATGTGTGAATAGGACGTTTTCTTATTAGTTTACGTTTGGTAACATCATACTGAGCTGGGCTTGATGGCAGTGACGATGAAGGCAAAGACGTAGCAATTTGTGTAGTAGGCTGGGAATATGGTCTATGTGTTGTGGTTCGTCTAAATGATTGACGGGTATGTGATGACGGAACAGGAGACCGTGTAGGGAAAGAATCATCGCGACCTCTTTCTCGTTGTCCACTGAAGAAGTCTGAAGAATGGGCTGTACGTAGATCAGATGCTCCACTGGATGCAAGGTTGGTGGGGCCTTGTGACAAGCGACGATCTCCGGTCTCAGCTCGTTGGAGACCGAATTCAGCTTCTTCGTCACGATTTTCACCAGCCGACAGTTTTTTTGTATCAAATCCTGGGTTAAGAAAAATATTAACAATTACTATACTATTGTTATAAATTAAATAAATAGTTAATATTATAAATTTAAGGCAGCGCTCTTGCAGGCAAAACATATAAAAATGTTAAGAACAACAATATTTACTATTCGGAAGCAGCGCAGTGTAAGCCACGACCACGAAAAAGCTTTACAATATTGCCTTTACAGTATTGCACATATATAATTTTGCCTTGTCTAATAAACTACCTGATTAAAGTTGATGTTAGTAAAAACTATAAGCGTTTGCTCTTTTTACTAATATGTATGATATATAAAATATAAAAGACACATTGACTTACATTCTTTTTTTTAACAAAGAATAATTTTTTGTGGGCAATGTGGATGCTGTGAAAACAACTGTTTTTATTACCTGCAGTTTACATAATTTCTTTAATGCTAAATAGCAACACTCAGAAATACAACATAAGTCTTTTGATATGGAGATACATACAATTCTTTCTCTAGATCTATAACTTTAAGGTGACTTGAATGAATTGAATGAATGAATAAATAATGTTCTACTTTATATTTATGAGTGTCAATGTTAGTTGCAAAGCTGGCTCACCGGATCCTATCTTGTAGAGATCGAACTGACCGTCGTAGATTTCGGCGGGACACGCTAGAGGGTCATCGTCTCCCCAGTCGGTGCATGTTTGTGCTTCCTGGTGAAATAATGTGCCGGGTGGACAGAAGAATCTGAAGTCACGAATCCCACCTCCGGCCACTCGGACACATACGTGAAAAGCCTTGCATCCTGATTTTGCATCTGCGTAGTACGCACCCAATATGCGACCTTTGCAGTTGAATCTCTCTGCTCCCCCTAAACAGAAAAAAATATTACCATTAGAAATATTGTGATGAAAGATCCTTATCTCAATGGACTGCTGATTTATTTATTCTATGTACTAAATACCCACGAAAAATTTAGAGAAAATGATACAATTTAAACTTTTTTTGTAAATAAAAAGTATCACGTAAATATACAGAAATCCAACATTACATAGTTTTTTTCAAAGACTAAGAAACATTTAAAGTACCAACCTAACCCATAAGTTAGTTAAGATTAAGAATAATAATATTTCTTTATTATTCTTAATCTTAAACTGTAGAAAATTTTATTCTTATAAGTTTCCTTTCATTCTCATGTGACGTAGACGAAGTTGAGCAAGTCAGCTAGTCATGTATATGAATAAAAGATGTAATGTCCATCGACATTTCTTCGGCATAGTGTTTAAAATTCTGGTCATTACATAAATCAGTAATAAATAATTCAACAGTAACAGTAGCAATAACGTCTCATTCATAGCAGCCTAATGGTGATATAATAATTTGACTTTGACCCGTGGTTTAAAGTAGTTCACAGTCCATGAATCGTGGTTTTAGTAGATCATTTACAAAGGGGAATGATTACTAATGAGGCATATCAATGCATAGATACAATAATCCTCATCTGGTACAATGGTGTTCTTTACATCTTTCGAAGGTATAGTCACTATTAGCCTGAATAGTATTTTTTATGTTAACTATATACCTATAGAATATGAAAGAATATAAAAACTTCGTTAGTTTATACCGCATGTCTATTTGAATTAATAAACATAATTTTAAAACGTATTGCTATACATACTTATACTTATTTAGAAAATATGTTAGTGACCAAAATATAGTATTTACCTTTATGTCTAAAATTTTAATGTTAAGGCTGCTCGATTTGCACACATTATAGGTACTGAATTATTAAAAATAGATACTAGAGATGTTATAAGGTACAGCATATGAACAGCACGATAGTCATCGCAAAATATATAATTAAACCTTTAGCACCTCTGCTGCGTTGCTATTCCTGAGTACTAAGGCTGCTATGTGTGATAACATGAACGACTATGATGATATTAGTTATAATGGTTATTAGTGATTTCATTGCCGTTTATTCTGAATTTGGAGTGAGGAACTGAACAAGTTATCTAAAAATATCGAAGAATAGAAGTCATAAATCAAAATTACCTTGATGAACTTTAAGTAATGCAATAGTCAACTAAAATAATATCAATCATTCGTTATTTGTTGAGGAAGTACAGATATATCTAGATGTTTGATCACTACACCACAGTTTCCAAATAAGTCATCTCTTATTTTGGCCGAGAATGGACAAACTTGTTATGTTAATTATCACTAATGATACCATATAATACCTGTGCATTTTAATGCGCTCTATAAAAGTGACTCACATGGACTAAATACATTATATAATACCCGGTAAAGTATGATACTAAATTATGTGCACTTCAGTAAAAGTACTTATCGCCTAATAATAATAATAAGATACAGGAAAGAATTAATTATTATTAGAAATATTTGATCTGTATGACCCGTAACACTAATTTATAACCACCGAAGAATATCGATAATACAAAAAAAAATATCCCTGAACAATTTATACCATCTAGTACCAAGGTAAATAGAGCTTGAGTGGCAGTACTAACTAGATAACTGAAATCAATGTTCAGATATTTTTTGTAAATATATAATATACATAGAAAACACCCAGACCAATATAAGCTATCATACATATGTATATAAATATTTCTATCGTAAGTGAATCGAACCTGCGACCATTGGTAGTAAAGCGTTAGCAGTTTAGCACACCACCGCTACTGGCATTATGTTGTATTGAGAAACATTTTTTTTTATCCGTTAAATACATAGTACCTATATTTAATTGCAGTCATATAAACTTTAAAATATATGTATTATGAATTAGAACTACTTAAAAAGATTTTCTTTCATTCATTATATATATACTTACTGCTTAAAAATACCTTTGTATTTTATAATATTATATATTTCACCCATAAAGTAATAATCTTTTCACTATTAGCGTTTATTCTTTCCGAAATTTTCTTTTAACGATAAACACTAATTACGATGTTTATTAATAAAAAAAAAGCTTCTTATTTATATATTAGCACGAAGCTATAAATAATAAAAATAATTATATTATTACAACACTAGATAACTATGACATCCTGAGACTTTCCCGGCATGATGTATGGTAAAAATCTTAAGTTTTAATATGGGACACAGTTTAGGAATTTGTATTAAGTAATACCTACATAAACATCGAAACATCTATCCAAATATTACATTTGCAATATTAGTAGAGCGCAAACAATCAATACTTACAGGTATGTACTTTAGCTTAGTCATTAAATTTATATATGATTAACGAAACAAAATGTTTTTGCGCTTCTAAACATAATATTTAAATGATTATAATTTGATATTACGGACAGATGTAAACGTTGGTGCGGTCGTGACTTGAAGACTGTGTAACCCACGTACAAATGCGAGGCGTGTAGGTCATCAGTCATCAGATAGGTAGATAATATAAAGTCAAAGAAATCATCGATGCTCGCATTTGGGACGATTGCGCGAACTAGGTGTCGCCGTGATGATGGATTTTGTAATTGTGATTATATTATTATTATAGTCGTTTCAAAATCTAATTTATATGCTGTTGACGATTTGATATTGCACTAAAAGTAATTAAGGACGCCATCGTTTTATTTCCTGATTAATAAATAGATTTGCATCTTTTATAGTTATTAAAATATGTTTCAATCTAAAAAAATAAAACATGTTAAGAGAGTATGAGATACACATAAATAGATACCCAAACTAATATTTAATAATATTTATAATAGGTATATTTTATATCTTGTGTATACTGAGGTGACTTTAAGTAGTTAAGTATTTAAAGATATTGTAAAAGAAAGATGCTAGTATTAGTATGTTTTGGTTTGTAACAAATTATTCTAGTTATAAAATCGTACTCTATAAATATATTTCGTTGTGGAGATTTTATTACCTATCATTTCTCTAAAATTAATGTATGTAGTATAAATGTCAGTCCTTCTATTTTCATATAACTTTAATCCTGATGAATTTTGATCCTTATACAACAATTATGTATGAGGATCATATTTTCATAAACTTCATGCAATTCTTTAAAGAGATATTTTACATATGTTTGTGCTGGTTTCATATTTGTGTGATGTTCTAGAATTAATAAAGCTTCTCTGGTATAAATATTTTCCTAAATAAGTACATATAAGATATAGAACTGTAGAATTATATAAATTCTAGGTAGTCACAATAATGTTTACCATTACAACGATTATAATGTTGCCACAAAATGTTGTATTTTAATGTCAATATAGGTAATAATAGAATAGAAAAGAAAACAATACTACGGACTGCTCATATCTAAAATTCGTGCAGATATAATTTGCAACCGCAAATAATTTTCTGTAATATGCAAGATGTAAGACTGTTAAATAGATTGTTATTACACTAATAAAATATCTAATAGCCACAAATATAGCAATAAATACAGAATATTATATTTGTTAAACACGTGCACTTTGTCGAAATATATCTTATATTATTTAATTACATAAAAATATGACCTTTATCATGATGAATATATAATCATGAAGCAGTATTTAATGTACCTAATGTTTGTATATTTGAGTGCAAGCAAATTATTTGCTCATTTGCGCATGGTTTGATAGATTGCTAAATTATGAAAAGTAAGAGTAACTAGTTAGAAGTGCCTACTTACGATATGTAGGAACACCTTAAAACAAAAGTAACGTTTACGCAAGTGAAACTGCGTAAAAAGATTGTTTTTGTATGGGAATTGAAAACAAATTTTTTAATGTTTCAATATTTTGTTTAAAGTTCAATAAATTTAATCTAAAAGTTTAGTATTGAGTAGAAAAGACACAGATTTTCCGTTAATTGAACACACATGTCATTCAACATGTTCAAACTTTTTAACATCTAATAAACCCAGCTAATGTATGTATCTACACTTAACTGTCGAGTAAATTTTAGTTATTGTAGGCTAAAACGGCTTACTACATATATATTAATTCATATTTAAAATGTCGTCAATGAATTTAGATTTTCAATTTAAAAGATTTGATTGCGGCGAATGTTTTTTTTTTACTTAATCGCTTAGTCTACCTCATCGTTACTTAAGTTAAATATAGTGTGACATAATTTATATAATTAATGTAATAATTATAATAATAGTAATTGTTAAAATTATAGGCGAAGTATTGAAATAGGTGAAGTTCATAAAACAGGTAGATATAAATATAAGTTTAAATTTTGACTGGTCGAACTTTTTTCAGCGCAGTATTACGAATACTTTTAGTACCGTTGCAACACAAGAATGTCTAAATAGGGATAGTGATTCTTAATTGTTTTTATAAAATAGGTAATAGTATCTAATTTGAAAATGTTATGAGAAAGTAAAACCCATTTCCGTATAACGAATGTGGCATTCCACATAATCTTAGTTTTATTAGGCTAAGTAGGTCCAGCGGAGGTTAAACTAGGTTCCCATGAGCGAGGTGGGGCGAGAGATAACATCTCGGTTGCGCAACCTCCGCGCTCCGTGCTCCATGCGCTGTGCCGCAAGGTGCCGTAGCATCCTCTGCGAAAGGTCATATCTACTCTTATGTAAATGTTATACGAGCGTGTAACATTTTCTATAATTTTCTCATACTAAACTCAAAACCTATATTGCAAATATCTCAAATATTTTTAAATTGGACATATTTTTCAGGACAATTTTAACAGCGCTATATAACTAGATAGTTCATATACTAACATTTTTCTAAATACATACATCTTTTTACAATTTAAGTACTACATATTTAAAAATAGCTAACGATCCAACCATCTTAATATGGTAACTATATTTCAACAAAATGTGTATAAAAAAGGGAAGGAGGTTCTCTATTCGAAGACACGTTTTTCATGTAGCATACATGAAAAACTTGTCATGATACATGAAAAAATTAAAATTTTGTCCTATTATGTTGATTCTTTTTGAATGAGAGTCTACTTGAGTGATGAGTATTATATCTCAAAGCCGTTTCTGCTCAACTACTAAACTCTTATAGAAGCTTCCAGATTCCACCCAACAATGAAATTAATTAAAATAAGGTAACTGTAAGATTAATGGATGGTAATATATCTACGACGTCCGTTTTGATACATTAATAAACCTAGGTTTAAGTGCATCGAACATTACATTGAAGATTTCACCATGGTATCAAATTTGTAAAAAATACTAATTGTTTCTATCCGACAGAGACTATACAATTATTTTTTTTTATTTTAAAACATACACTCATTACAGTTATAATGAAATGTAAGTATATGTATATATATGGTAGATAGACAACGAGTACCGAAACGTATTTGTTACATTAATATTAATAAAAATGTTAGTGTAGACATAATGAGCTTAGAAATTTAGAATAAGCGATACAGTAATATGAAATATAACAAAAAATAAGTATAGGTAATATGGTACGTAAAGAAATATTAGTTATTAAGGAAATATAGTAAACGTAAGTGAATAATGTTACACCAAGAAAACTTTTACCGAGACAATACCTAATTAGTACATTTCATTACACAAAACAATAAATTCTTAACTGGAATATTTGAGTACAGTGAATGAGTGAACAGTTAATGAAAAACTATATCATTGCACAATATTAGAGAAAACATAATTTTTGTAGTACTTTCGTTTTAAAGATTCGCATAGATCGCATAGATCGCATTCCTTCTAGTTACGTTTCAACTGGTGTCATAAGTTAAAGGTTGTGACTCATGTACCAGTGAAATCACTGGGTACGGAGACAAAACTGCTTATTCTTAAGGTGGCAAAATAGTCTCTACGAGGTTGCCAATTCAAAAGTATTCTTCCTTACAGTTCTTCGAACTGTGTGACAAGCCACAGCTATTACAGCATATTCTCGGTTATATAGTCACCTCACATTCTAGCTGATCTCTTTATCGTAGACTAGCCACTCACCCCGGTTTCACGCGGGTGTACATGTACTACATATATATATATAAACCTTCCTCAAAAGCATACATAGGGACAGACAGCGACAGCGACTTTGTTTTATACTATGTACTAATGTAAACTCGCTAAGCGTCGAGGTTTGGGTGTAGCTACAAATTCTTATACACTGATATGTCTAAACAACTACTACGTTCAAAACATCGCGAAATAATTACCATGTATGAAGTTACAGATCGCAGTATATGGGTATACGTCTGTATATAGGATCCATGAAATGACAATGTGGCGTAAGTAGTCTCTGGTTTAGTGTTTCATTATCGTAATGCAAGTATGTGTATTGGTAATTTGTTATGACTATGACGCAAAAAAGAGAGTTTGCGGTTACAACAATGGATACCTGCTCATTAGTCTACTGTAAGTACAATATTGGTGCATCCAATACAAGTTTTGGTTACCGTAATGTTCTCATTCGTAGTTCTTTTGTTAACGACACATATGTGGCGTAACTTATTATTGTAATGACACTGATCAAATATTGTAGATCATTGTCATGTGACTTACATATGCTTAGATTACATACATTTCTTTACATAGCTTTCGATTTTCATTGCACCAAGATTTTTCTCACGCTTTAGTCAGTTGCTATTGAAGCACAATAATACAGAAAACGTTGATAGTTAGTGATTTTTATAACAATTTTTGGGGTTGAGAGTTCTTTACAATAATACAGTTTTATATTGAAATTTAAATTGCAGAGTTCTTATAGCATAAATCTTTGTAATCATTTTTCAAATTTGGAACGTCGGATCGAACTGATAATTCTAATATGGTGTGTCACGAAAATTCAGACCTAAATAATATTGGAAGCCTTGTGCATACTGAGCGAACCTTGAGTTACCCATCCGTTCTCTACCGGCCGTCACGTCGCCCTAGTTCGTCCGGAGAGCGGACCGTGGGAAAGACACTTATGCAAATCCGGGGAATCGATTATCGTGCGATGCGCGCGATACGTTTTGTCTGCGTAGAGCGCACGGCAGCGAGCGAGCACCCGCGAATGGAAAGTGCATAGGTTGCGCAAGAGCGCGCGTTCAATACTGCATTCGGGTTCTCACATGCACACGGACAGCGCATCATGGGTTTTTGTATTCGTAATAAAAAACGAAAGATGCACGATGATTTATAAAATTTTAAATGCAAATTTAAACCTAGATATATTTTAGTCAGTTTTGACATAAATTAAGTTTCTCAGCTGATGATGTAATTATAGCAAAATAAAAGATAAACATGTTGAAAATAATAGATTATTGTGTAAAAATGTCAATTAGCTAAAGATTAAAAGTATAAAATATTGACATAAACGGAATGCGCGTAAACATAAATAATATAAAATTATATTTTTTTTATACAATTTATACTAAATACTTCAAAACCTTTTACTTTTCAGTTTATTAATAATAATAATGCTTTATTTGTACAGCCACAAGATTACAACATTAAAAAGGTAATAGTTAAAGTCAGTTTATTATATATGTGGCATTCCTGAAAACGCATTTAATAACCGGGCTGCCCCCGGAGTAACTTTTCTTTATAATTGTACCTCAGCCATTGAGTAATAGAAGTAGGTATTTAGACTAAGGTCATTATCGCAGTTAGTTCCAACACAAATTACCTTACATAATTTAAAAAAAGACGTGCTATACAGTGACACTGGTTTTTAAACCAGTAAATATAAAGAGCATATAAACGTTACTTACATAAAAAAGTTTTCTGTTAAGTTTGGAAGTCACATATAAAACTACTGGACGAATTTGAATAAAATTCTATAATAGTATTTAATATATAGTAATTATTGCCGCGGTTTAGACGTTTTGTACATATACTAAAAAGATGTTAACCAATTATGACAAAACTTCAATTATGTATATTCTGAACTATATATCTAATTAAATCTGAATGTAAGTTCCTGTTCATATACTGCAAATTCTCACACACCGGACGTGTTGCACTTTCCCAGATACGCACGCGTGTATTATTTGTGCCGCACTAACACAATTACTGGTTCATTTCCTCACTTGACTTTATAATTAAACATAAATATGCATCTATAAAATATACGACACTATTAAAAATTTATCAAAAATTACCTACCTCCAAACACTTGTTAGGATCATTCCCAAGCATTTTGGAAAAATATTACCTCGTCGAAAATTAACGGTGGTATAATTTCCACAGTTTTCCGGTCACTTCCTAAATTACATCACTGATGGCTGTTGTCACAGATACACTTACCGAGTATGGGGAGCAAAGCTAGTACGATCCACATGGGAGGCATGTTGTCGCGAAGTGCGTCGCGAAGGGACTGTTTGCACGATGCGCCTGCGCCGCCCGCCCGACATCAAAGAGGGGATGAAAGCTCGCATGCGTGTCCGCCCGGCGAATGACGCTGCGATGTAACCGAGATAATATTATTAACAAATGTAAAATCTTGTCAGTTTGACATTTATCGCCTTAATATAAATAATTAAGAGACTTCACTAAGAATAGAATATATTTTAAGTTTTATTAATGAAATTAAATTATTAAGAATAGTACATTACGAAAGTAATGTATTATGTAATGATTGCTAGTTTAATCACAATAATGGGAAGGGCTTATCTTCGTAGATGTCGCCAACTTATAGTATCGCGTAAGTGAAATTTCTTTAACACGTTTTAGAGAAAAAGAATTAATTTTTATTTACATATAACATTTCTGCTACCACTTGATTTTTTTTTATTCTACAATACATTTTCTATACCTATTGCTGTTAAAAAAAATACTAGTTTCACTTCACTTCACAACATCTTAGTTAATATACATATATATACCAAGGGCGCGGACGAATCCTGATCCTCGATAGGTAGCACCGACTATAAATAAAATAGGTGAATCGTCGTATTCTATGGTGGTAGGTACTCATACATAGAGCGCCCACATGTTATGTAGTAAGATGAGTTTGTTATATACCTGTTTGTGATTTATTATACGATGGCTATCTCTGGCCATCTATTGTATTCTTCACTCATTAGTCATATGCTTTGTTACGTCAGGGCTAAATACATGAGAACGTGGTCGTTGCGTTTCGAAATGTAGGTGTGCTTCCTGGTTAAAAACAGTTCTACAAAAAGTTTTTAAGTTATCCCAGAGTTTTAAAATGGGAAGGGATCTGCGGCGATCATGGTCGTCCATTCCCGTAACCCTGGTAAAAGGTGAAGAGAAGGAACACCTTGCGGGTTTTAGTCGGTAAGAGTCCGGCAGTAATAAATAAATTGCTGTTAAGATGAATCTTAAAACATAATATTTTGTTTGAAGATTTTTGCACATTTTGTACTGACAAAGCCGCACAATATAGTTTAAATTTCTAAAATTTTATTTTTAATTTGGATTGTAATCGTCTTAAAATTATGATAATTCACTTTTGTAGTAAATAATAAATGTCTTACTTTCTCACTTGAAATTCGTTTAGAAATCAGTCACTATTTTGCACCGCACATTAAATAATAATAAAGATGCTAATTTACGGTCACGGTTGTTAAAACAGGAGCGAGTAGATGAAATTCGTGAAAGAAATTATATTGATGTATTGTAGTTACGTATTCAGAAATATAATTAGGTCTATTTTTCTAGTGATTCTACATCTACTTCTAATTAATAGCCTAACCTTCTGGATAATTGCTTCATTCGAAACAAATTATCCATTATGTTCATACCCACGTAGTATTTGCAATACCTATTGATTAGGTGCTTCATCAATTTATTTCAAAGTAACTTTGTATATATCTGTTTGTTTGGATAATTCAAAATGTTTATTTGTTGGAAAATTCCAACTCAGTTTTCGATTGATTTTTATTCAAACATTGTTTGCTTTTTTCAGCATAATACCCGGTTTTCAGTATTTCATTCAAGCGTCAGAATGCTGCAATAAGTACTAATGGGATAATGTAATCCCGCACTGGAATATGCAATGGATTACTCATTGCATATTCCATATAGTTCAATGAATGTCTCTGTCATATATTGTCACTAGAGTTCACACTTGAAACGGCTTCGCCTGGAATTATGTATGATATCCAGTCCAATGCACTTGATTGACTTATTGTATTACTGGACAGGAATAATGTAAACCAAGCATAAGAAAGAATCTTCTATAGTCATTTCATAAACGGATTAAGAATTTCAGTAGGCAGCTAAAATAACCTCTTTCGTGCAGTCTCTTTTCAAAATGCGCACGAAGATGCTGTCACGGTTGTACGATGTTTACGAAACAATTCTTACTTATTTCCTAAATCCTTAGTAAAGGATGTAATAATTTATTTAGGTACAACCATTGAGAAAATAATTATTACGTTTTGAATAAATGTCAAGCGGATGTATAATAATAATTTAACTCTGAGAACAATAATTATCTTTAGGTTTAACTACATCAGAATTTCTATTGAAATTTAGAGTATGCAAATTTATCTATTATACTAGTTTGATTTATTATTCAGATTCTACATAACAACATGACCTTATTAAATATATATATATATATATATATTGAATGGAAAAGCGTTGACGATTAAGAAATACATTATGCAAATACTTATATGTGTAGAAAACTATACTGTGGTATATTAAAATTTGACTATAAGAAGAAGTGTGAAATGAAGGTCGTCAAAAAGAGAGACTAGTTACTAGAGACTATTTACTTAGAAGAGGAACAAAGGATGTCATTACTGTGTTTGCACTAGGTGTTCATAAGTTCTGAAGTCGTGCAACCTATCGCGTCTGATTGCCCAACATCCTGCGACAGTATTTTATACATCTATCTATCTACACGAATTTATATCGCCAATTGGGGTTATAAAATATTAAATTGCTAAGTTGTTTCTAGCAAAAGTAGTGATATAATTTAGGATAAATATAATATTTGAACGACTTAAATAAATTAAAGTTACAATATTAAATATAATGTCATTTAACATGATTCACAGTTTGTTGGCAAGTCAAATGCAGGTTTTCATAAATTTACGAAATTATTGTATAATTTAAAGTCTATTACGATGCTTCTGAATTGAGGCCCTCAGGCAATTTATCATATGAAATTATAATATATATAATTATATATATATATTTTTTATTAATATATATATATAGATATTTGATATTATTATAATGATGTAAACAATTATTTCTTCTAACTCGTATAATATACATAGCTATGAGCGAATTCAATAAACTAAATTGAAACAACACTATTTAAATTCTATATCTTCGAGAATAACAACTGATAATTTATTAAAAGTGACAAGTAATTACTTTCACAGTCGGAACGTTACCATAGGTAGTAGTTATGTCATAGAAATTTATAATATTTTATCTTACAATTAGTTATCAAAACAATAGAAAAATATATTTTCTTGATTGATTTTTTTACTTTCCGATATTTATGAGACCTACTCAACTCACCAGTCGAGTGCAATATTTCTGACTGTCACGCCGAATATCTAGAGTCATATATTTTTATGTTGCATTTATCATATCCTATGGCCAGTAATTGTTAATAGATCGCATTCCCTACTTACGAGTATATCTACAATTGATATTTATTGCTATTGTAACACTGCTATCTTAACTAATATTATTTAAATAGGTAAAGTCTATGAGTTCGAGGTAATCTCCTGTACTACTGACTGACTTTAAAAATATTTTAGTACTAGACTGTATAATATCAAGCTTCGACCAATAGGAGCTTAGAATTGAGTAACAAACACACAAACAGTCATTTGTAATATTGGTGCAATTATTTTGTAGTTGTGATTGTTAAGATCGAATACCGTATATAAATACAGCTGTAGAACAACGATTAATGTAGAATACTAAGTGTGTTAAGACGGTTTTAGCTGACCATTGACCGACATGGGTCAGCCTTTGAACTGAAACATCAGCTATCGCAATGGACAGGTCATAAATCACATAACTTTTTCTTTGTTAATTTGCCGCCTAGATGTTACTCATTACCATAATGTATTTTATGCGACTGTCATTTTAAAAAGTTGAATATCTGATAATTAATTATATAATCGGTTTCAGAGTATTACTAGCAATTACTCACTACTTCGTCTGTCTTTTTTTAGATAAAACATATGTAGAATATGTCTATATATCTTCGTGATACATTCTATCTTCAAGCCTTTTAAAGCAAGGTAACAACAACGACAAACAAACTAACAGACAAACACACTTGTATATTTATTACAAACTGTATTTATAGTCAATATTACAAATAGTAATTTTCAATAACAATATAACTTTTTTCAGAGCCTTCTTACAAAACTAATGCTTAAAATTTCATATTAATCATTTAATTATAAAATTCTTGAGTAAATATAACTAACGAAGGAGATATATATTTGAAATGTGTGTAGGTTACGAATGAGTGTTTCACAAGTTAACTACTCTCACGCTAAGCAAGACACGGTAACGTTAACCAAAGTCGAGACCGCATGAACTCTTGTGAAATTGTGACACTTGAATAATCAATACAACAAATTGCTTATCGATTTTATATTCCATTCAATTAATCGCGTTATCGTTGATTGAGCATACTAATCAAAGGTAAGCAACTAACTTGAGATAGTCGTGATTTTATCCCAAACAAAGTAAATTTTATAAAATTGCTTAGAAATATGAACAAAGTACATCATTATTTTATTTTATATTACATGAATTATTTTTCAGTGATTTATTATGTCAGTACATATTCCTTTATGTTTTAATGAAACAATTCATCAAATATTTACGGACTTAATTTGGCGATACTACTAATTTTAATCATGAAAATATATTAAAGTAGAATCATATAAGTATGTTTATTAAGAGTGTCCTGGCCTAGTGGTTTACAATTCTCAATGACGCCCAATAATACGTGTGTTCAAATCTGTCCGACACTAAAAAGAAAAAAGTTTTGTTGTCAATTCAACGGGATTTGGCAGTACGTTAGCCACCTGACCCGTTGGATTTATAATATAGGTACCGAGCAAAATGTGGGCATGTCAAACGTTGCCTTCACTACAATATCCACAGTGGACATGCCTCTGGCTACCCCATCACTAATAACAGTCGTTATTTTATGTTTTGTATTTTTGGAAGTACACATTTATAGAAATAGTAACTATATTGTGGAATACAGTACTATGCTATAACAATTAATTAACGTTCCATTGCAAGGCATGCATCTTTACACATTACTTTACGCAGGATGTTAGGCTAGTAATAAAATAGTATACTAGGGGCAGAAGCAGGTGATTGTTAGTAATGGGAGCCGATAACATGGTAGATTGCTAACAATAAC